TTTGTGTGGCGAATAAGGGTAAACAAAAATAAACGATGACACAATATTTTTTTATCCTGGTAAATAAATATTGTATATTATGTATACATTCGATGTATACATGTGAATGTTCAATTTTGGCGGACATGTCAATAAAAGTCGAAAAACATGTTTTATGTGCGGTTTATGAAAACACAGTTTACCGAGCAATTGATGAATTTTGGGCGGTTGTGAAAATATAAAAAAAAAACACGCTAATAAATTGATGTACCTACCTACCTACCTACCCACCTATGACTTATGAGTAATAATAATAATCGTTTGCTGTTGTTATTATTTTGATGCATATTGATGTGTGCACGGACTGTATTTTATTTTTTCTACAATATTTCGTACGACTGTCGACTACAATAACAGACGTTTAACGTTTATTGGAAAACGTATTTACTTTGGGTTTTCGCTGTATAGATTTTCTCGGCGTACTTACTATGCGTACACGATTATATACTGAGTGATATATTATCACACAAGGCACTCACTATTTCAAAACCAGTTAACGTTATTTTATTTTTACACAGTTTTAAGTAGTTAAAAAACAAAACGTTTCACTATTTTTATCGTTATGATTTTTTAATTGTGTAATCTTTTTAATGATAACATGCATTTTTTAACTACTTATTTAGAAGTAGAAAATTGTTTAGAGTATTTCGATTTACAAAAATAGTATAAGCATGATTGTTTTCCGAAAATGTTCTTCATTGAATAAGGACTTAAGATTACGCTCAAAAAAACATTATCAAAAACGTTAATGTTTCCATTAAGAATAAGAGTGTCTGGCGTTAAATGAATCACCTTGTATGTATATGTTTAATGATTATGATAGGGTTTGGGTGTACATAATATTATTATTATTAGAGCAAATAAGTCTGGAACCCACCTCTTCTTCCGGCGTTTTTGCTTCGTCTTGTTCTTTCTCGTCTAGTTTGTTCAACAGTTTGTCCTGCAAAAACAAAAGTAAAATGGAAATGTAAACGGATCGTCGGCAACTAACAAGTGGCTCTACTATATGAAACAAACAAAACAATTTAATAATAGCATGTATACGCGAATTACGACGACGGCGGCCGTCGAATCGACCGACATCCGATCACTTTATACGACAATATAACACAAGCACTAGTCGGAAGAGACTGTGAAACGGAAGTATTTTTATAATGAAAACAACGATTATTATACAGTAAAAATATATTATTTTAAATATTTTTTTTCTGCAAACATATTTATTATTCAAATCGATTTGCGAACGACGGTACAATAACGGTAGTTATATTTGGTGCATCTAAAAACCGCACGTTTTTTCGTCTAATTATTCTAATTGCGTAAGTAGCAAAATACCGCCACTGTTTTTATTACACAGACCAGAAGATGCCAAAGGTCTAGAACTTTTACCGAGTTTTGAGAGGAGCATTACTTTTAGTTTTAAATAATTGTGTTATTCATACCACTCGAAATGAAAAAATGACTTGTATTCACAAGTAAGATGAAGATGTCATTGTCAAATGTAAAAAAGATGTATAGCGAATTCTAATGTAATTACTGTGACGAGTAATGCTGACAAAAATGTCTTGTACTCAAGACACATAATTGTAATAAATAATTTATTTTACATTTAAAAATAATAATACATACGTTTTCAAGTAGGCATTAGCATTTTTAACTTAAAATTGTACTGCTTTTGGATACAGCAACCACAAAATAAGTGCCAGTTTTAACCCGACCAGAAGAGTGCGGCCATGTTCCGTATTTTATCTTAAGCTCGCGGTTTTCGAATTCAACGATAATTGCTCGTACTATTTTAAGTATTATTGTTGTCGAGCTGCGTTGGCGGGCGGTGCAGGTGCATAGGTACAGACTACAGGTATTTGCGTGTCTCGATTATAATAATAACAATAGTATATTATTATAGTAACGATATAATGACATTATTAGTTATCTCATCTGTTGACTGCAGTTCTGCATATTATTATTGCACCCCGTGCATTGCATTTGACCTACGAGTCCGTGTATTTCGATCTGAGCAAATAAACTTTAAAGCCCTGCACGCTAAGAAGCGGTGATTAACGTCACGAGAAAATTAGGTATATTTTATTATTGTCGTCGTCGACAAACTATCGTCCACGGCACACGAGAATGAAAACTTCGCGAATTTTTTGACCAAATCGATTTGCGAACTGCCTTACATTCTCTAGTGTAGTTGTTCAGAGATATCCAAAAAAGAATATCCAGTTCAGATAACAGATAATAATTCATTGGAATTTTATCTAGATAATAATATTTTAATAATACATTAGACTCTAAAAAAAAAACGGGTAATTTAAACTCGCATATACAGCATTACTACAATGAATATAATACCCAATAAATATTTAAGTTTAAATGCTTATATACTCGTAAATAATATGATGTGGGCGTTTTGAATACGATTACCCATCGGTGCTTGCAGAGAATGAACAATATAATATAACGAAATCATTATAGTAAAACCAACTGTTATAAGTATACATAAAAGAACTAAAAGAACATAAAATCAAATAAGTCTGCGATTTAAGCGACGAACCGCAAAAATGAAAGTCTTGTCACAAAAAATTATCTAGAAAATAAATCTCAGATATCCATTTCATCCAAACACAGAATGATAAAAAGATATTTTTAATTATTTTTTAGCTGTATATAAGATAAAAAGGTAAATATTATTATCTATATAATTTATCTAACAGTCAGGCTGTGGAACGAGTGACCCAATTAAATTTTGATATGACACTATGACGATTAATAAACAAACGCGATGTTATAACGTCTGAGGTACATAAAATTATTTTTACATCACACGCATCTGTTCTATAAATATCATTTTATGGGCTTGGTGCTTTCGCTTTCTAATATGAACAATTTTCTTATTAAAACCGTAGATTTCCGAGTATACCTGCCTGCTCTAGGCAGGTTTAATACGGGGTGATCCATTTAACTCAAGACACTGACAATTACACACCAAAATGTTTGGAAAAAATTATTGTTTTTACTACTTTTTATGTCTTTACTCTTTTGAATGACAACTAATATTTTAATTCCATAATCCGAAGCGGAATATTATTCGATGCATTTCGATTTGAAAAATTCAAATTTTAGACGAGCAGTTTATTTGTTGCAGTCCATATTTAAAGTTTAAGTGAGCTGAGTAGTACCCCACGTACCCATGTATACTACTGTTCCAAAATTCAATATTTATATATATATACATATATATATCAAAGTAGGCACTCCAAACAATATTTTGCTTTGAAATGTGGAATCAAAAATGTATGTTGTCATTCAGAAGGAGTAAACAACGACAGCTGTGCACATGTCGTTTTTTGACGCCGTAAAATAATGTAATAAATATTTTTTTCAAAAACGTTTATAGTTTTTGTGAAAACGAGCGTAAATTAATAAATAAAAAATGGATCACCCGGTATATGATACATACATCGATTCGGTCGGAAGTCAATATGAAACATTATAAAAAAAAAATGTTCATATTTACGTACGTTACATAAATCGCGCCTATAAAACATTATTATAGTTATCGCAGCGGTCAACACAAACATAATATATCATATATACTGTCATGGAGTGTCGAAACCGCTGGAGCGAGCTCGTCGGCCGTATCAAATTAATTGCCTCGACACACGTAGGTACCTATATATTTATATTCGATCGGAAGCGATATTATAATACAATTATATATTTTACCGTGTTAAACGATAATGAACTGTCGTAAATCGGCGGCGACGCGTTGTCTGTAATAGTGTACGTATTTGGTCAGTGTTTTTTTTTTGATTATTATTTTAATATTATTTTTTCCGCCCACTTCTACGCCGCCGCCGCCGCCGCCGCCGCCGACGGAATATTGGCCCCGTTTTCTACTGCACAAGGACGTGCGAAAAACGCTGAAAACTAGCAATTTTTTCATATCACACGGCTGCCGTCGTTATAATATAACATGTGTAATGTGCACATAATAATATCATATCTTACGAGGTTTATCTGTTATAGTGGTAAATACGTAGGTTATTATATAGAGCAAGAACCGACGGAATGTCTATCAGACGATATTATAGTGTTTTATAATTTTTCATAATTTTGTTTTTTTAGTATTATGTTATATAACAATATCTCAATTTAATATGACATAACATTATAGTTGGTGTAGGCAAGACACGAGGTCTATATCGACTAGTGTTTATCGCGGTAGTCGATCGGCGAAACGTTTTACAATATTGGACGGCTATCGTAGTACGCGGGTTACACGGCCGCTGAGATGTTCTCTCCCGAAAAGTATATCATTATCATTATTGTTTTTTTTAATATTATTTATTATTATTATTACCGTAATCGTTGTCCGCGTGTGCACACATTAATTGTTTTATGTATTTACCTATCGAAAACACGTCCCGTCCGTACCTACGTTTTGTTTTTCTTTTCGTCGGATATTTATGTTATTTTATTTTCCACAACGAGTGCACTCGTCGTCTCGTGTGCGATGCGTTTTAATGCGTTTCCCGTATCAAAGAGACAACAATAATACTGTACGGTATCGGCGAAATTGTTTTGTTTTTTCGTATTTGGGTGACTGGAACGCGACATTACATTTTGTGGTCATGGTTTTCGTATCGGTGAATAAAATATTTTCGCGTCGTGCCAAGGACGATAATATATTATTATTATTATTATTATTAATTTATATTACCCATAATCGTTCGCCCTGTCGCGAACGCAACAAAGTAGGTACCAGGCTTACGACAATATAATAATTAAAAAATACGATCACAATGCGAATTCGTATCCACGTGCACCTGATAGACAATATTAATATTATGTTTGTATGTCATAATATAACATATTATATAATTTCGTATGAGTAACTGTACAAAACACAATTTAAACGTTAAGCATTATAGTATATTAATACGATCGTTGGGTTTTATTTTTATCTTAACAACAATAATAATAAAAATATGTATCAATTATTTGCAATTAATTTTCAGCTGAACGTGTTGATAGGCACCTACCTACCAACTGTTATGTAAAACCAAATCCGAATAAACAAAATGCATTTAAATTTCAGAAGAATTTGCCATTGTTGTTATTTGCGAATTTCCATTAGCTTTGACCTTGGGTGTAGAAGAGCTGGCGGGGAGATAAAAAAAAACACATAAACGAAGCCCTGCGAGCAACGAAACGTTTAGTAATGTTTCCCATTCAGCTAAAGCGTATTCGGTGGTAGATGTTAATTTTTTATTCTCGCGTTAAACACACACGTCTTATAACAAATTGCGTGCGACATACCTATATGTAAATATAATTTTTTTTTTCCGTTCCATTATTGTGATAATATCGATGTTCTGTGATGCCAATTAATCATGGTGGCCCTAGGCATTATGGCATGCATGACCTTCACGTTGTTTTGGGGTGAGTTCGACTTTTGAATGATGTAGAGCAAACTGTGAAACCACAATTTTATCGTTCAGGTAAAAATCCATTTTCCGCTACGATGATGCCCAGGGGTCGATGCGAAGGTTGTTGCCCAATAAACGAAAAAGAGGACATCGCATTTTTTTCATATTCGAGGTGTGTGTGTGTGTGTGCGTGTGTTTGTGTGTGTATGTTGTTATATATATATATATAATATGTTATATGTGTACGCTTACGTATACATATATGCGTGTGTCTGTATTATTACTGTTATGTTATTATTATTGTTGCTATTATTATATATTATGTTATATGTCACTATAAAAAATAATAATAGTAATAATAATAATCGGAAACAAAAATGATGTTGTCCAGGAACAACCCTTTTCGTCCGAGGCGCATATATATCGGCGACGATGTTTCCCTGCGCGGAGCCAATATGATGAAAAATTTGACCACCGTCATCTATGTTCACGGGTTTACGGAGCAGGGAAACTCCAAGGGTGCGGAGACCATTAAAAAAGGTATTATTTGATAAAAAAAATATAAAAAATTATGAATAGTTGTCGCGGAGACGGACGAGTTTCATATTAAGCGATTGAAAAAACGGTATAAATGTTTTTTGCAGCGTATTTACATCGAGGAGGAGTGAACATTATAATAGTCGATTGGAGTCCTTTGTGCGCTTTTCCATGGTATAGTCACGCAGTGCTCAATACGCGTATAGCCGCAAAATACTTGGCCAAGTTCATCGAATATTTAGTGTCGAGAAGATTCTATCTGTCCAAAATACATTTAATTGGATTTAGTCTGGGCGCTGAAATAGCTGGGTTCACTGGCAAGAATCTTAAAATCGGAAAACTTCCGAGGATCACAGGTCAGTAATACTTATAGTTGTGCAGTTTGCCTACATTTATTAAACATTACCTTAATAAACTTCGTATCCTCGTGAACACAATAATTGTTGGTGTAAATCTGTATGAATTCCTGTATATTGTTATTGCAAAATTATATTGTACAAGACGTATTGTAAATATGAATACGAATATTAACTACAGTATTTATAAAATATCTTCTCACAAAATATTAGGCTGCTTTAAATTAAAAAATAATTAAATTAAACCTGCCGCTAGGAACATAATAGATTCTTGACTTGGTACCTAAAAGTTACTAGTTTATCTTTTAAAACTGTATTTTTAACTAATTTTATTATTTTAATAATAAAAAATGTGTTTCAATATTTTATAGAGCTAAGACGTAGGTACTCTATGGGTATTTAATTTACTTATAACAATATAATATAATATGGATGTATAATATTGAATCAGATACCTTATAAGATTTTTTATTAAAGAATAATAGTATTATAGTTTTCTATCAGACTTAATTATGTAATATGAATAATATGAATAAACTCAGTGGTATTTATGATTGTGGCGTGTCCTCTAATTAAAAACGGGATGATTAACTATTCGGAATATTGTTTATTCTCGGAAACAGGAAATAAAATTAATCGTGTCGCATAAAATAAACAATTCTGGTGAATGACCCTACAAAGCTTTCAAATTTATTCAAATTTATTTAAAACTAAAATCAAAATCAAATTACCAACGCTTTTAAAATGTAAAGCATAATTTTTTAAAAATGAACTAATCGTAATATTTAAATATACTTATTGCTTTTTAGGAAACTATTACTATTACACGTCTTCATAATAATTATTTAAATATTTTTCATACACATTGGCTAATATTATTGTATGTGCGCTATATAGCAACACAATGTTACATATTATTTTATTATGACCAATAGGTACACATTTTATATTTTGACACATAATTGATCACGATTACGCCATTGAATTTATTGGATATTTTACATATTTTCTCAATATTTAATGGCAATGCTTAAACGTAATCTGATGTTTTCGGTAGTCAATCATAAGTCATTTAGAACACCGCTAATGTTTAAACTATAATTTCAAGCATTAAATTGCCTCCAAATAGTGCAAATACATAATTTACAATAAATGAATACAAGAAATAAAATAATTAAATAGGTACCTACATAATATTATTGTGTTTATTACGTTTATTTAGATTTTATGATTTTTTTTTTTTAACAATCGATATTAAGTATGTTCAAATATTAAATGTCAACTTTTATGACGTATTTTATAGTTTAAATATTATTGTTGTTTGAAAATGACATATTTTATGGTAACAGATAATAAATAGTAATAAAAATACAATAAAACTGTAGTATATTTTATTATCAATGTCAAACGTCAATATTTTACGAACATTATGTCATAATAATAATTTGTACATCAATTCATTACCTATTCAGTGTATGATTATCGACATAAAAGTATCATAATATTATTACACTTTAATTATATCACTGAGTTCACCTTCGAAATAATAACAGAGTTCATTATTTTTAAAAATACACGGACAATTATCAATGGAATAAAAAGCCAATGTTTTAACTTTTAAGCTTTATAGTGTACCTACAAGGAAAAAAATTATATTCAGAATGTCGATAATCAGCAATCAATCAATATCGTAAACTTCCAGCGCATCTATAAACCTGTTCAAAATTAATATTGGCAATTAACTGCACGATGGTATACGCGTATAAAAGTATATAGGTGACACGACGCAAACTTTGCCAACTCTGGTATTGTAATAAAATGCAAATGAACAAAGTTTCGATGGGAAAAGTGTTTCCGTAACGTACCTACCTACTTGCAAACACGAAAAGTACAACAATAATAATATCAATTTACGATCGCATATTATTACACAATTCGATCAGACGATATTATTCTTTCGATTGCGTCTACTACAAAAGTAGTCAGATGATTCGTAAATGCAACGCATATACACGGATAGAGATAGTAAAGTAGATTGCTAACTACTATTAACAGCGGACGCCAAACAAATGTCGTGTTCTCTGTGGGCACTGTATGGTCCGACAAACCTAATTTAACATTTGACTTACTTGATAAAACACCATAGCCCACAACCCGTGTGTTTAAAAAGTGGCGCCACCCGTCCTGCTTGTCGATGTGTAAGTAGACAGCAGTCTAGCTCATTGTCTATATCTGTGATCATTTATGAATACGAAAGTTATGGACAACTACACATTAGTCGGGACTAATCGATCAGGATTTGTTTTAAATCAGCTTTCTGTAGGTTGCCCATAATGACGGATGCAAAAAAATAAAATTCGGTGTCGTGTGATGGCCGGGGGGTTGTTTTGGGCGTTTAAGTTGAAACAACCCTAGTCGGTAGTGTTTATGCGAAAAAAATTATATGTTAAAGATTCCCATAAAACTGCATGTTATTGTCGTACAATATGGTTCAATTTCGTATTTGATATGATATTAATAACCTCGAAGAATGATATATAATTATTATATCATAATATATAGCTAGAGAGTGTTTAAAGCCCTCCACACGTTATATACGTTTGATTATAAAAAATTGAAACACAACGCTTATAAAAAAAATCTTCACCCGGATGCAATATCGGATAGAAACTTTGTTTTCTGACTGGGCAGTGATACGGACGATTTGTCGATACGACATACCCGCCTAATATTGTTCCGTTTCTCACTCGTGTCGTGTTATACAATTTTAATTATAATCGTAATTATTCATAATCGTCGTCGGCGTCGTGCTGAAAAATCGGCGCCGTACGAGTGCACGTGTGACTCGGTTATTACAAAATATCATATTAATACGTTGGCGAGAGACAAAGACGGCGGGCCCGAAACGTAACGTTTCAAAGGCGAATAATTAAAAAGCGCACACTCGGTCTAAAGATATTGTACATGGGTAGGTAAACGGGCGGCGGTTTTCTACACTATATTGGAGCGGCTTTTAGTCGGAAGATTTTGTGCGCCCCCACGAAAACGGGGCAGAAACGCGTGATGATAATAATTACATATTATTATTATTATTATTATTATAATAATGATTTACGTAAACGACAAACGGTTTTATGCGAGCTACGCGAGAGGAATAATATTCGCGACCTACCCATATTATATACACATGCACTGCAGGACCGGGAATTATGTGTAACGCGTACTACACCCGCCGCCTTACAACGCTCTAGATTTTATACCTGTACCACGTTTATGGTATACAAAACCTACATCGTGTGTATAATAAATAATAATAATAATAATAATAGGTAATATTATAATAACGCGGGTGATGCGGCGACGGCGAAATCGTCTCGACCGGGTTAAACTAACACCTGTGCGCGTACGATAATATTTTAATATATTATTATTATGTTATTGTTCTCATAAATTGAACTAATTATTCATAGTTGTAGGCGAAGTGGCACTCTTATTTTGTAAATGCGTACAACATTACATCGGACGAACAAAAAGGTGCCTTGGTATAAAAATTATTAATTAATGTATATATTATTTTACTCTAAAAATGAACTCTATCTCTATCATAATTGTATACTCAATTTCAGTTCGCGACATTATTATTATGCTCACTTTCCAAATAAAGTTTTAAGTATACATTTGACCGGTACATTTGGAAGAGAATTTAGACGATCCTATAAAATATAAATGCGTTTTTATCGACTCTTTAGAAGAAAATAACCCAAGTTTTGATTTAATGCACGAATCAGTCGAGTAGGTCATAGTTTTACACGAAAATATGATATCATATGATCACACTGTGACACACCTACATTTTATAATATAATATTATGTTACGATACAAGTATGAAATGTTTCCCGTATAATATGAATAGTACGAATAACTCACGAGCATAAGTTTTAGCATTTTCACGAATCCCTCTATTTACGTGTATAAGCATATTTTTAAATAGGTACACGCGTCGATTTTGTTTTAATAAATTTGATTTTCATACTAAGTTGCATAGAAAAAACCAGGGGAACTCCCTCTACTTTTATGTTGGTATAGAGTGTACTTACCCCTCATTGAGTAGTTCACTGTGATGGGTATATTAAATTTGAATCCAATGATAAAAGATTCTGAGCGGAGATTGTGCACACTCTATTTCATAGAATAGTTTATGATATATATTGTTTACTACTTATATTATACTTCACTCATTTATTTTTATTTTAGTAATAGGGTGCCTAATAGTTTTTGACATAACTATTGCATATATTATGCTATATTATATATAGGTGTTTCGACTTAAGGTTTAAAGGTTTAAATATCGCTCACCCCATCACCCTCCTCTCAAGTGTGGGTTTACACACTCTACGTTGCTACAACATAAATAATAGCATTCAATGGTTGTAGTAATCAATCTTCACTGCAGTAATAATACTAATATCAAATATAAAATAGAACTATGTATGAAAATAATATAATATACACCAAAGACATCCCTCTATTTAGCAACGCCACTAGGTATAAGCTAGAAATTATAATTTTTGAATACTTATATTCTATGCAATTTATTCTATACCTACTATAGCTCATAATACGACTTCGTCATAAAGCTCAAAATTGTTGTTTTGCTCATATGGTCCGACACGGATTGAGAGTAAAAAAATGTTGAATACGACTATGCCAGGTGTTATAGGACGTGAATTATTTTGAGTTACAGGCTACAGTGATATTATACTACGAGTGCGTTTTGCTGATTCACCGTTATTCGTTTCTATAATAGTATTAATTGTATACGACATTTCTGTGTAATATATTAGACGCAATAAATATAGGTACCTACATGAACATGATATAATATTATTATGATGTGCAAACATTTCGAGAGTTCTTCAGTATCGATGGTCATAATATTATATACTTTGTTACACACAATTTGGAATTTATTTCGGTTTGATTCATTTATGTATACGATATATCTACTCAGTAATTTTGTCGTCTACATAATAATGTGTGCGCGAGGTTTTATATTTTAATACAGTAATGGATATTATTATATTTATTCGCACTTAATATAATATATTTTGTCACGCAGTGGATTCCAGAAACACCCTCTAAAAATACGAACTAATATAAGACTTGCTTCATATAATGAGGCGTGTTATCCGGGAATGATGAATCGTTGAGTACTGTTTTAAAAATACATTTATTTTAAAAATATATTTTTTTTTATGAACTCCTTATTTCCATATTATTATTTTCGTCGAGATTTTTTGTTATTGCCAATATTGAATAGTATAATGAAATCCACCATAGTAATATGTATTGTATAAAACAATTTAACTTGTGATATTGTACGAGTAGTAGTGCCCACCAGACCAGTAAACCTATAAGTAAATAAAACTACATTAAAATTAAACAAATCTGTGAAATTTAAAAATATGTATTTATGCAGATTACAGAGTGATTTCTTTAAGCATGCTCACTCCATTTTTATTTTTTAGAATTTTGAAGCGTAATTTATGATAGACGATGTTTTTGAATACTTAGATTTTCACAGTATCTAAGGAGTATTCTGTGTAGACACCAACTTTGGTTTTTCAAATAAAAATTTATTTTTGATTTATATGAAAAATCATCCTTTATATCGTCACAAGAGATTAGACAATCACAATGCATATATATATATATATATTTGCATATTGACGAGTTAATATTCAACGATCATCTCGATAGGTACCGAAAATGAAAATCTCAATTCCGATGTTTGATATTATTTACATTATATTACACTGTTTCGATTTTATAATACATCACTTATTGCAGGACTCGACCCGGCTTTTCCGCTGTACATGTGGACGGGCAAGATGGGACACCTGACGCCTTCGGACGCCGAGTTCGTGGATGTGATACATACCGACGGCGGAGTTTTTGGATTTCCGGTGGCCCTAGGTCACGCCGACTTTTTCCCGAACGGAGGTTTTCCACTGCAGCCGGGGTGCACTTTCAGGGAGCTGTCGAAGAACAACCTCATCACCAGAATCAGTGAGTACCTATGCGTACCACCCGGATTGTGCATTAAGAGGGGGGAAATATTGTCTTTTAAAAATTCATAATATACTATTTTCATTTTCGAAACAGGTTTATAATATAATATGAACCATTATACTGGTATACTCTACAACATGTACCCGAATATATTTTAAACACAGGTTAAAATAAGAAAGTTGTAGGAATAAATTAAATTGAATAATTGCATAAATTAATTAGACACAGAGATATATAACATATCTCGCCATCTCAAATCTGGATATCCAAATCTGAAATCCTAAATTCCTATCACTCGTACATAGCACATCTAGATAGCGTCAGCTTGTATATGGTGTATAATGCATTAGCCTACATATTATAGAAACCTCTGAGGGATAAACTGAGAAATATATGTAACATATATATTATGTAGCTACTCTGATGTTGCGCGGTCGAAAACCCTAATAATGTAATAAATTTGGGGATTGTATATTAATATATTATATGTAGACGCCCTCCTAAAAGCCAATGCAATCAGCATACGTATATGGTTGATGCACTAAAAAACGCTAAAATATGTATAGTGCGCACATGGTGTAAACGCTTGGGGTGTGCGCTGAAATATGATAAAATAATATGCCAAAAATATTTAAATGTCCGGAAAAATAGTCTACATACTAAGTTAAACGATAGCCTGTGTGGTCTGCAACTATAGCTTTGCGCAAGTATTAAAATACGTACAGCACCAAGTGACGGTTGCTCCGACGGGTGAGAATAATTGAAAAATAGAACAGCACACGACGTAAGGATAATAATAATTTGTATAAAAAATTTAATTTCCGTAATAATTGACCTATTTCAATTGACGTCAAATGTATATTTAATACTTTCATTAGAACGATATTATTATAAAATGTTCTAGAGTATTTTACGGAAACATGAAAAAAACATTAAAATCTATTTTCTGAGAATATTATATTATGATAAAAAAACAATATTAAAACCTTTAAATTGATAGAAAAACAAGTTTAATCATTCTCTGTAAAAAACACTGCCTGTTTAATTTATTTCTGCTTATCGGATAATCATGACTATACAAAATATATTTTGAGTACTCGTCAAAGGTGGAAATTCTTTCAAATTTGGTCCAATATTTTCAATAAATCTAAAAAAGAACCCCGACAACGTTTTGGAGTGTACTTTTCATCCTTAACCGCTTTCTATTATACTTCCATATCGTTGAACCGTAGTTGCCTGCACTATATTGCATCCTGTACGCACTAGGATATCACATGTTTGGTTATAAGTTATAACATATAACTGTGAGATGTATAACATCACGCTAGCAAAACTTTGCACGAGTCTTGAAATTGTTCGCTTTATTTCAGTAACGATATCGTTAAATATCGATATGACGATGTTATATATAATATTATGTATTCATATCGATATTATCATATGGGTGATAATAATAATACTATTGTCTATATCGGAGACCATAATAACTGTGTAAAACAAATATATTGTACTCAAAGGCGAAAACCCATTCAAATTTGAGCCAATATTTTCAACAAAAATCTAAAAAAAATCCCAAGAATTTCGACATTGCTTTGGATCGTCTTTAGAACTTCTAAGGACCTCCCTGGTAATATTTATATAATACCCGGTTCAACATCGTCGTAGCTTGCAGTATATGTGAGTACCTACGCCGAATATACTATAGGTTACCGCTCGTCTCCTAATAACATATTATACAAGATATTGAACTGCAGAACGTGGGCATGACTTCGCACAAGTCTCGAAATTGTTTGCAACAATATCATATATACTGTTATCATAGTTATAATAAGTAATAGTAATAATAATAATAATAATACCTAGGTGCGCGTGGGAGATTGTCCACGGTATAACTTATAACCGACGCCGACTACGGTACGCCAAGACGGTTGTTACTTTTATCATTATTACAATATATTAAGTTTTGTACATGGCGATGTTGTGTTGTTCAGTCGAAATTCGATCGTGGCTTGTTAAAAAACACCATTTTATATCACTATAATATAATGCTCGTTCCATTGCCACCCAGCGCCGTGTCAATATCATTAAATATCATGACTAACGCGTCTGATTGTCGCGTCGTCCCACAAACTCGGGAAAAATAAAAACCAATAATATTGTAATATACAGGGTGATTCACACCAAAGATTCTCACCCCATTTTTTCTTCAATGAGCTATTCAAAATCTGATTTTTAGATTTTTTAAATATACGTAAAGATCATTGTGTTTACAAATTCTTGAGATTGCTTAAAAAACTATTTTAGAGTCGATTTTAATAATACTTATTATTTATATAATTGTTGAGCTGTCATAGTCATTACTAGAAGCTAATACAAAAAAAAAACTACTCATTCGAATTTTGAATAAGATGGCGTATCTTATTATATAAGTCATCGACATTTTCAAAAAATATATACTCTTAGTAATTAACAATGAAAAAAGAAAATTCTCATTCACAAAAAAAAGAACGCAAAAGTTTGTATCGTCACAAGATACTCGGCAAACTCCTCAGTCCTTAAGTAGCACTACAAACCTCATGAATTCGAAAATAATACGATGGTCTTGAGGGTGTTTCGAAAATTCCAATAATCAGCATATTTTGAAAAAATGTATTGTCAAAAGAAAAAATGGGGGTGAGCATGCGACGAATCACTCTGTATAATATCCCTTAAAACCACATACAACATACTGTGTTGGCAGTTCGATTACAATGACATTAAAGTATCCCGTTTCCGACGAATGCGATTGGGTCCGCTTCTGAAACAGCGGGACTGCAATATTTTGTTATCATTATATTATTTATTATTAATTGTGCGCACCAGCGTACGCCACCGACGACATAGTAATAATATTATCATAACTTTTGAGTTTCCTCGTAATTTATTAAAAACATTTCCTGAACAGTTTTAATTTTTAAAACGCACCTTAATGTAACACGCGTTCGCATTAAAATTATTCGAATTTGAATTTATTCTCACAGAGCGCAATTAATTTTGAAACGGTTTTCCATTTGTTTAAGATTTCGTATAAATCACAACTGTAATATATTCATTTATTCGTGGTATTTTGTCTTTAAATATTTATATTGCCACGTTATTTGTTAGGTTTTATCAAGTCAACATTTTTTTTTTTTAAGATCGAAATATAAACAAACTTTAGCCAGCAGATGAATTTAATAAATTACAAGTCTGACATAAAATAAATTAACAAAACAACTCTGAAGCAGTCGAGGCAGCATGGGGAATTAATCGATTGAAAACTGGAGTATAACATTCTTCCAGACAACTATTAAAAAAAAAAAAAAATGTATTTAGAATAAAGTTTTATTTTGTTGTATTTTGATTAAACTATTTAAGAGTGGCTATAATTATATTTTTATAAAGGGCAATAATATATTTAGTATTAAAACTTTACAAACAATTCCATAAAAACTACAAAATCATCTGATTTCCAATCTAACCTCTCTTGGTTTAATAAATAAAGTATATCTTCTAAAAATTAAAACGGTCAAGGAACCTTTTAACTTCTTAGGTAATATCATAATGGTTATCAATGATAATTATAAAAAAAAATATATTATAAAATTTTAATTTAAAATGATCGTGGTATAACTCTACCTATATTAATATTATAAAAATAAAACAATCACACAAGTCTATAGGTATTAATTATTTTTTAATGTCAGGTTTTTCCAAACTTATAAATATATTTTATTTTTATGATTTGATATTAGGCTTAGAAATAAAAAACAAACGAGTTTTTAAATTTCAATAGTTTATTCGACCTATTTTGTGCATGATTTCTGTAACGTTTTCTGTTTTTCAATATTTTGAACTATACATATATAGCATATATTATGTAAGGGCTCTACAAGAATATAAAGATCAAGTACTTGAGAATTTAAAAAAAAAGACTTTCCACTTAACATTATACTTACAGTTCATCATTAAAAATTATAAAATAATTCTTCGAAAAGAAATTGTTCTAGTTGTCTTATATTCATATATTACTTATAATATACTGGGCTTATGAAAGTAAATTGTAATATACTTTGTGTTCTTATAGATGTTTTTTCGATTCAGCCATTTTAATGAGTATAAGACATTCTTACATAATTTATAGAACATAGAAATGAATATATTTTATATAAATTAAAAAATTGTTGAACATTTTTTAAAATCATTATTCACTATAAAACAGGTGCAATTTAATATAATAAATCCAATTTAAAAAAATAAATATGTATGGGTACAGATTTTACTGTAAGCTTGGATGATAATATCGTCATATATAATCAGTTATGATCTGTATGCTAATTTTTAATATTTAACTTTAAGAAAATATAATTAACGATCATGCAATATTCGCCTACTCTAAATACTATATGTACAACAATGTAACACCATAATAAAAACTGTGTTTTTTTTCTTTTGTGGCCAAAACGTATAACGTTCAAGTAGTTTAGGGAGTTAAGACTAAAGTAAAATTTCAAGTACCTATATTTAGTTTGTTGAAGGAAAATTAAGAAAAATTGCAAAAAGTTTTCGTACATTAGGTTTTATAAGCGAACGTCGGAAGAAATAATAGTGTTTTGTTGCTATGGGCACCTGTAGTTTGTTGAATTTGACAATAGAAACCGCGTAGGCATTACTTATCTCGACTCCATTATATTGTATAGAACGTGAGAACATTAAAATGTATTGCTAAAGAAACTTCAGTGAGATATAAATATTTAAAAAACATAACTCATTGTTATTTAGTGCGTTTATTGAAACATCGACACCTCGATAAAATCAATTTCGACTATAAATGTTTTTGTCAACCGAGGAATGAACATAGGAAATAATTATTTTCCGTCTGCAGTATAATATCGCCTATTACAGTATAACACAGGAATCATTATTTCATGACAATAAAGAAAATCTTTTTACTTGTTGGAAAATGAGAACCCTTTCCGCAGTACGGCGTTAATTCATTACTTACATAACAATATAATATGTTATAAATATTATATTATATTTTTATCTATACATTTTAAATCGTCATCGTTTAAATGGAATAAAATGCGTTACAGCATTAAATATTTGTTACCCAAGAGAACTAAATGTTGTAAGTGCACAAGTAATCTAAATTCTAGATAAATATCTTTAAGTAACAATTTAATAATAATTATTATATAATACGATTTTCGTTTAATTTAAACGTAATAATTAAAACTTAATAGTTTGTGATGATGGTTTCGCAAACGGTTTTACTGCTTTCCAGGAACATTGAATGCATAAGTAAAACTACCCTCGACGGCTGCTGCCAAACTAATAATACTGTTAGTGTAGGGTGGAATAACAAGTTATCAAATCTAGTTGGTCAAACACATCCTACAGTGGGAAACTTATAAGACTTATAGAAAACGAGATTAACGCAGATCGTGCACATTAAACAGTTGATTACACATATCGGTAAACCCAAAACAAATAACTATTTATTGTTTAAAGAAAAATGCAAGCCTTCAATTATTCGTATTAAAAACCTCCCGAATCAATGCAAATGCAATTAAATATCATTAAATCACTTTTTGTTTAAAAAAAAAATTAAATAAAGTTGATGGAGGTCGAATACCAGATTTCCGTTGAAGCTTTATCAACCTAATATAAAAAAAAAAAAAATATTTAAAATATCAATGTACCTACATTCGATGTTACCGATTAATATCATCAAAGCGGTTAATTGCATTGTTTGTTTGAAGGCATATTTGATAAAAAATAATTACCTAATTGGATTTTTTGGTGGACAAATTATCGTTTTTCGAATGCCAGTGAGATGAAATAATATAGTATAAACGTTGAAAAATGTACCCGAGATGACCGTGACGCGTATATTACTATCGTAAAACTGTACTTTAAATTTGAAATGCAATTTTTTAGTGGCTTGCAGTCACGACAGGGCGTGGGAGTATTTCGCTGAATCCGTCGTCAATCCGATTGGATTTCCTTCGTTGCGATGCATAAACTACGAATCATTTACCAACGGCACGTGCTTCAGAAACTTCGCGTACTCCAAAGAACAAAGAGTCCAGTACATGGGATTGGCAGTCAACAAACAGTACGTAATCACTGTACACGATAATATTATGTTGTGTATAAAATATGAATTAAAAATGCAGGAATCGTAATAATATTTTTTTTTCCCCCCGTTTTCAGGATCAGAGGTCAATTCTACTTGGCTACCAAGCCGACTGCACCGTTCGCATACAACAAAATATATAAACCCTAACTGAGTTGTTTGTAGAACTTTTTTTTTTTAGTTTAAGGAAAGAAAAAGAGAATTAAACTTGTTTCCTACTTTGCATAAAAATATGTTCTTGGAGTCATTTTGATTAAATTATGCGCTATATCAATGTATTGTATACCAGCTAATACATAGTGCAGTAAACAGTTAACTCGGCAGCACCTATATATACACACTGCTTATAAAACAGTGGAAACTTATAGAAAGTTTTTAAGACATCGTCCTACGTGCGCGTGCTGTTGTATAAAATATATTTAAAATTTTGTCTAGACACCCGGGGTTTCTATTATCGATACGAACGCGTGTACGCTCAAAGTTTTATCAAACTATAATATATATATATTATATATATATATATGGTATGTACGCATTTATTCGACTTCTGACAATTTTTTAATAAATAAGGTGTATTATTTGCACATTATTCGTAACAGTTATTTTTTGGGACTTCGGAGAGATATTGGTTTTTTGGTCACAGAATATTAATATCTTTATTGAGATTGTTTTACGATACTTCGAGCTTATACCGACAAAATTAAATACCTATAGCGAATGTTGTAGACGTCCTCTCGACACAATCATTCAGGTAAGCGTATTATAAAAACGAACTATGTAATCACATAATAGCTTTTTAATTTTTTATATTAAGTGAACTATTAATAGCATTAGGTACGTGCTTTATAAAGAGTATGTCAGCCCTATTAATAGCATTACGTGCTTTATGGAGTGGATGTCAGTGCACTATTTGTTTTCTCTGTCTGACCCACGCGCAACATGGACAATTTGCTTTCAGCCTAACCTAACCCCGTAACCTCTAGTCACTGGCGTACTCACGTGTCGGGGGGGGGGGGGTAATTATGTCATATCCCTCCTCCTTCGGCTTATTTATATATTTTATATGACAAAGCAATGAATGTACGTATATGTATAACGTGGTCTGAGAATAGTCAAAAGTTCATATACCTCCCTGTCAAAAAAGATGAGCACTCCACAGCCTCTAGTGGTAGTGTCAATTGACTTATATTGATAAATTATTATTGTAAGACTTAAAGTTTAGACCATTAACCGTGTCCTTTTACGTCGGCTTTTTAAAGTATTTAGATTTTAAAACACGGCGATCGGAGTCTTTTTTTAAAAATTGTAACATACATTTCCATACTATCATAACCCGATAACCCACATTTAAATTTGAAACGTCGTGAAAAGGCCAAAGTCAGAACTCGTGTATAATTTCACTAACTTGATGAATGGCCAATAAATTCGCCATAAAGCGAGAATACACGGGGTTGGTTCGGCGGAACACAAATCCGCCATGCAGTCAAGCATGGGGGGGGAGGGGGTGGTAGTGAGAAAACGAATAGTGCGCGCCGACATCGCACATCGCCTTAAGTACAAATTTCCCGAAACAAAATCTCATATAGGTACCATATCGTACACCTCCAATCGCACGTGAACTGCAATATAGGTATATCGTATATTGACGCGATTCTACACCGCGTAACGTTATATGTATAGCATATATTATTTCATTACACATCTTTATAGTTGATAGTAATATTCGACGTTCGGATTCGACGGGAACGAGACTTACAACATATTTCATACGTGCAGCAGACTCCTTTTCGGCCGGAATTCCGAAAACAGTTGTAGCGCTCAAGAATGCGTATATATTGCACACAGACACACGCACACCTTCGCACACACACGTATCGAGTCGTATCGGAAAAGCAGAGAAACTCCGTGGGCCGTTTGAACGATCCTTTCCATGTTTTTCTGTCGGCACGCGTATTCGTGCGGTATGGTGCGTGTATACGGATAAATCCGATAAAGACCGCCCGAGGAATGCGCTCGTGTCTGTTTTCGAAGGGTAGTCCGCGCTTCGTCGCGGCATACTATCCCACTCGCAACCCCTGCGTCTCGCCGCCTTCGCAAAAAACGAAGGTTTTTGACAGGGCATATCTGTACAACGCGTATTCGTATGTATATAATATACTTGTAACTTTCAGTTCGGCGACGCGTGTGTGCCCACCAATATACATTACATACGTACAGCCAATATCGGAGGGGAAAAATAAAAACGACCGTTTTCCGACGTTTTGTAGACGTGAGTGCCAGCAGGTGTTTTCGGTCCGTCGGCGACAGAGACCGCCGCGATACCAGCTGCAATGCCGGTATAGAAACGGTATACCAGCTATACGTGTCTTTAGGGTCCGATCCCCGCCATCCCATCGCCGGTGAAATTATTTCACGACGTACCGTCTATAGACTATAGAGCATATAGGGTTCTACGCGGCCGATGATCCCACGCTCTCGCCCACCGTCGTCGCGGCGCTCCGTTTTATTTGGTTACTATGAATATATATATATTTTTTTTTTTTTGTTACGAATAAATTCCAAGCGTTCGTAAAAGGTTGGGTTATAGCAAACTCCCTTACCACCCACACACGTTACGTACGGACAAGTAATTGCTCAGTTATATATGCATGTCGTGCCGAGCGAAAAACTAGGAACAGAAAAAACATGGCTATCGCGTTTAAGTTAGACACGGACAGTGTAGCCGGAGATGAAGTTCGTCAGTCTTCCGGCTCTCTCGTCGGCTTGTCGTGAGGTGCGTTGAGCACTTATACGTATATATATATATATATATATATATATACTTTCGTATCCGCAGTCAAGACCATCCAGCAAGTCTTATAAGTACAATATGGACAAGTCTAGGTGATGTACCTTAGTGTATATAATGCTGTACATTCCAGTGTTAGAAGTTTATAATTCATCAACTAGTATCGCGAACAAAAGCGGTCGGCCGCAGTTTTATTATACGTCATCTGCAGTTGTCAACGCAACTGGGTGACTTTAATACGATTTCATTGACGTACCGACTGATTTAACTCCCAATTTCGCCTGGAGTGTCCGAGAAAACCGGATTTGGTTTGGGTTGACAGCAGATGAGGGAAAACTTAGTAGTAACTCGTAGCCCGTAGAGCTCGCTGACGGATTGTGTTGGTAACGTAGTGGAAAATTATGAAATCCCCAACAATGGATAATCCTACAAACCCATCGCTAGAGGTCTTAGATCTCACCTCTAAGGGACCGGGGAAATATTTTTAACGACATAAACCACGTCATACTATTAGTGAGCCCCGGGAGGTAGCAGTATGGATTTAGACAATACACTAGAGAACCAACGCCCTCCGGTACCGGTCAATGTCACTGGTTGTATCTACGTTATAAATTATTTATGGCAGTTATGATCCACGGTTGAAGAGAATGTGTGTTCACCTTATTTTATAATTGTACAAGTCACTTTTCAAATAAATATAGTATTAAAATCCAATTTACAAGTAAAAAACAGATGTTCAATTATTACAATATTTTTAAATCTTAACACTTAACTTAAAAACTTAAAAATAGGAAAAAGAAATTTTTCAAGAACTATTTATGATTGTTTAACAGTGTTCGGATTTCAACACTTCTTTTGATATAACAGAATTCTTAACCTAATATTTTAATAATCCCATAAAAGTAAGTTAATAGGATACAAAAAAAATTTTTATCATTGAAAAACCAGTAAGGTTAGATAAGGTTAGATAAGGTTAGGTAAACCTTACATGCTTTTTTGCCCACCAGTAAATTAAAATTTATTTTTGAAATTTAAATAAATAAATTTAATTAACTGAAATAATAGTTTTTAATTTATTTTATGTATTTACATATCTAATATAAAATTGTATAGTAACGGTTGTTTAAGTAATAATTGGCTATTATCATAAGTACATATAGTTAAATATAGAGCTATAGAAAATCTTTTATACTTAATGAAAAATCTAAAATGGTTGTATGTATAGATTTAAATTGAACGGTAATAATAATATTAGTATATTACTTTATATTTTTAATTATTATTACCTGTTAATTTAAAATAGTACCCTCGCGTATTATATATTGTCTAATTATAAAATATTAAACATATAATATTTTTTTTTTTTTTTATTGAACTTGGCAACTGAGGCCATTAGCTGTAGTAGGATTTGTATTGTAGTTTGTATTGTATATTTTTTGGAACGGTAGGGGGGAACACGTGTGTGTTTGTTTTTTGGCAGAATTTCGAATGGGGCACCCGTAGGTTTCTGCCATGCCCCGGGGGTGGGGGATGGCAGCACTTGTTCTCCGGTCAAACATATAATATTATGTAGAACTATTTAATAGATATTATAATCGTCGCAATTATTATTACAAATGAAAACTTCTTTACCTAGAAAATTAAAAATTAAAAATACAGAGACCACGTTCTGAGTATTAAAAGTCTCATACATATATTGTCAGTAATTTATTTTTATATATTAAGCACTAATTATTTATTATTACCTACCTAGCTATTATGATTATAAATTATTTGAAGTGAAGTTGAATAAAAAAAGAAAATACGATAACTTTCAAGTTTCTATATATTATATGTTTTATTTAATCTTCAGGAATTGCTCAGCTGAAACACATTTCGATCACTTTTAACCTTACAGTTTCTTTAAACACCCTCTTGACATAGTGTTGTACTGTTGTTCCTTGTCAAACATTTTGAAACTGTCACACCAAATTTAGTGGCTTTCTTTCTATCCGTATTTTGACACGACGTACTGTTGTTTCATTTTTTTTTTTATAATTCAAGAAGCGCATTTCTTTCATGATTTTAAAAACGATTTTTTTTATGCACTTGAGATTGAAAACCAATAATATGAACACGAGATTTAAAACGAATTTCGAATTTACTTCGGTCGTTGGTTTCTTTTATTTACTGCACTGTACGACTGATTGCATTTTTCTCAGTAAGTCGGTTAAAACAATCATTACCTAATTATTAGTTTTCATTATTTCAAAAATAATTTAGCTATAAAAGATTTTTATTTTAGTAGGTAGGTACAATATAATAATTACTGTTTATCAGTTGATAGTTAACGTGAATATCTTAATGAAAATGTGTTTCTTAAAACTGTTATATACATTACATAAATGTTATTAACTTATAAATTTATGACGTAGGTTAGGTTACCTATATCAATCAAAATAAATAAAACATTGAAAATGGCCATCAGTTCAAAGTGTTCAAACATTGAGGTCAAAATGTCAGGCTTATCAAAATGTGCATCAGGTATTCAGGTGCTGGCAACAACTTACTCAGAACATGAGCAAAATTCAAAAGCCTTAATTAAAAATATGGAATATATAATTTATTAATCCTCAAGAATTTTAAAC